AAATAATTAGACCAAAATACAGTTCACTTATCATTTTGGTTTTGGGGTGAACTAACTCTCTAAATTATATATTTCTGCCACAAAAACATTTGAAATGTTTAATTAATTGCTCTGTGTTATTGCTAGTCATTTATCAATAGTGAGTAATGATACCGATATCTCATACATTCACAGGAAATAGTTTATGCCTGCATTAAAAAGCAAAGTGGAAGGCCAGCACGGACATTTCCTTGAATACACACCGTGAAAATTGATCAGAACTCAGTTTAATGGTGTGGGAGTGACTCTGTATTGCAGAGAAAATGGGCTCTGCTTGAGAAGAGATCTCCTTTGATAACACATTCCACGTGTATCTGTAACTAGCAGTGAAAGCCAGGTCTCGATATGACTGAGAGCTTACTATGGTGCTTCTGATGATGGAGCTCAGTATCTGCAGTCTGGAACATCACGCCTCCCTCAGTTCTTATAAAGCTGACTTCAGTTATGTAATCTCTCTCTCCCTCTCTCTCTCTCTCTCTCTCTCTCTCTCTCTCTCTCTCTCTCTCTCTCACACACACACACACACACACACACTCAGACACAAGCTCACCCTATAATGCAACTGTCAAGGCCATCTATCATAAATGAGCAGCACAAAAATGATATATTAAATATAATAGGATTCATAGATAGATCTTTCTGTCTTTCCTATTGTCTCATTCTCCCAACTACAGAGTATGTTCCGTAAGAGATAAAGAGATGGGTTAAAGAAAGGTTTAAGGACATGGTAAAGGGAAATCCAGAGATCAAATGGTAATGAATTAGTGGAAAGATGTCAAAGTCGTGCAGAATGAAGAGTCATTGAGTAATTTATGCCATATCAGGTTGGAAGGGAAAGGAGGAGACTCAGACGGTGCACCCACAGCCCTTTCTCTGAATGTCTGATAGCAAAAGCTGTCTGAAATCACCAGGTTGAGTGTGATTGGTGGAACAACGATTTTTTTAGCAGCTGCATCAATTATAAACAGTTTCCTCTGATTTACTACATCTCGTGTACAACTGTATATGGTGCTGCTGCTCCATTATTTTTTCCCTCAGCCTGGTCTATAGAGAACAGAAATCTACATCACAATGGTCATTTAAGTGTAGTAGTCAACATACTGCAAATTAGAAATAGTTCACCCCAAATTAAAATGTACTCACCATGTATGCACTCTCAAGTGGTTCCAAATCTTTGAGTTTCCTTTTTTTCTCTTAAACGGAAAAGAAGATATTTTTGAGAATCACAAAATAAAGAAAAAAATGAACTCAATCTATATAATATGATCTAAATGATCCACCATTTGATTTATTAGAATAAATTAATAAATCAGTTACAATTTAGCAAATAAGAAAAAATTGTCTTTTTTGCTGTTTTTGCATAAAGAAATTTTTTAAATGTTTGTCAATAATTACTCATCCTTCACTTTTTCAAGCCTAATTGAGTTTCTTTTTTCTAATAAAGAGAAATGAAAATATTTTGAAGAATGCTGAAAACTGGTCGCCATTGATTTCTGTAGCATTTTTACTACTTTTGGACATTTTTCAAAATATCTTCAGTCTGTTAAAAAAAACATTATTCTAAAATACATAATAAATAATTGTGGTTGTATGTATCCTTGTAGATTTACCAGGTTGTATGTTCTCTTTCCCTTGATTTCCATTGTGTTGTTTCAATGTTAGAAAGCTAAATTAGCTTTCTCTTAGGCATTTAAAAAAAATAAAAGTTTTACAAACTTTGTTTTGAAGCAAAAAGTGTATGAAATCCTGACACAAACTAAGAGCTAAAAGGCTTTATTACAGTGAACTTACTGAGCGAAAAAAATATTGATGTTATTTTTTATAAGTATTTGAAAGCACATATAGACCATTCAATGTTGTAATTTGCAATGCTTCATGGGAATAAGTGGATCCAAAGATTTTTTCCTGACCTTTTATTTTTTATAGCATCATAGATATTGTAGTTTTCTGTCTAAAGACTTTATTAAACACATTTGTTTTAATAACAAGCCAAATGAAGGTGAGTGGTTTCAACAAAAGTATATACATTCACTTTACATTCTTGGAGCTCACAACAGATCTGCTATTAAAGGTTTATTAATAATGTATCAGATCCTAACAGTTTACACTATATTATTGACAAAAAATAAATCCACGCCTTAAAAACATGACTACAATAAAATGAAAATCAAACAAACACTTTAGCTTCAGAGGTATGTATTGGTGCTTTTTGGATAAGGAATTCATGAAGGCAACAAAAGACTTATTTTTCCACTGACTTTTTGAGGGCCTTGGACTTTGAGGACTGTGTTCTGACACATGTCAGCCTGATGACCTTTGACTGTTTAAATAAGCTACACTAGACTTTAATGCTGCAATTCAGATGTTTGGCTGTGTCAATTGGATCCTGACCTTTTCACCAACAATATTTTCGCTATATAAAATGAACATCAAACAATTAATTCAAATAGCATTCATGAAACAGGTATCAGTAAATCAAAATAGCATTACCATGCAAAACTTTTATCTGCTTTTTATGATAATAAAAAAAATCTGACAAACTTGCTTATAATTGGTTAAAAATGCAGTAAAAATTGTAACATTGTAAAACATTGGTGCTCAAGCAGTTTTTATGTGTAAATTGTTAGCCACATTTGTTAACCATTCTACATTATATAGGGTAACATAAAATATATAAACATTAAACAAAAGTATAAATAATGCAAGTAAACAAATTGAAAATACAAATTAGAAAACTTAAAATACAACACAACAAACCAAACCAAAACCAAACAACAAACCAAAACAAATATAAACATGGATCTTTATCACTGACCAGGGGGTCGTGACCCTGATGATGTCATCCAAAATGGCCGCTCTGAAGTGAAGACGGGAAAAGGCAATTCTTTGTTTGAAGTCTGAGCAGGTTTGGTGCTGAGGAATAGAAAATGGTAAGTGTGTGTAATCTTTCTATGTTTTTGTACTAAATTATGTTAAAAAGAAAACGTATCTGTGGTTATTTCAGTGTGTATGGGAAGATGATATGGACTATTATTTGACATGTTTTTGAATTGAGATGTCACATAAACACAATGTTAACCTTAGACAATTTAAAACAAAGTAATCCACATTACACAAGCACACACATGCACAATATACTAATAACAATACAAAGATCCACGCATACATTTTGTTTGCCAGCAATCGGACCATGTTTTAGTGATAGTGAAATGAAGCTTTCTGAACCAGTGAACTGCTCGACTCAATAGTGTTGGAAAATGGTTTGTTCATCGCAACTGATCAAGTCAACAAATTACTCAATTGCTGTAGTTTTTACACATAAGGTATGTTACATTATACCACTGGTGACTAGTAAAATCCAAGATATTCAAATGTATTTATCGAATTTCAACTGGCCCTTCACCCACCCACCCATTAGTTCCAAGCGGGGATCGAATCAGTGATTTTTGGAAGTATTATTGCAGAGCAACACAAACAGCACACAGAAGTATAAATCATAACAATACATAAGGCATGCACTGTGAGCCATGCCAATCACTAGACATGGAAGTATAAACCAGGCATTATGGTGAGGCTCTTGGGCTGCACTCGCCAGCTGGCCTCTGTTACACACTATACTACAATATGCAGTGGTCTTCTTTAAAGTTCGTTGTAAATAATACACTTTAGTATGATTCGAAAGCTTTTTACTATGAGTTGCTATTGTATTTTAGTTGAATTACTGGTGCGTGGGACCGGTGCAGTACTTTGAAACAGTAGAAATGTATGTAATTGGCTGCTAATCTCTTGCTTTACACTTTACTGTGAGAGTGTTTAAACCTTTGAATCAAAATTCGAAGTAGTCATGTGGGTATAGGTGAAAACGAAGCTTTGGGCGTCACAATCACGTGATTATGGCAGAACTAGTCAAGTACACACCGGTACACTGGTTCACTGCAAGATTGTTTTTTTATGCATTCTTCGAAGCCTCAGTGTACAACATCACATCACTACCAAGTTTAGAAGTGTATGCATTTCATGTAAGAGTGTAGTATGTGTATGTCAAAGTGTCTTCTCAGTTGTACACTGTGACCTTTTTTTATCATCCTTAAAAGAAAGGAATGCATTTCTTTCTGTAACACTGTACTAACTATAAACTTCAAATTGTAGTTTAAATTCCACTTTAAATTATGTAATTTTTAAATATCAGATGAGAATAAGAAAGCAGAATACTTAATTACTCTTGTCGTTTTTCCCACTAACTGGAGAATGTCATGATAACTAAACAGAGCTCTGTTTTGTGTTTGCCTGGCAGCCGTTCCAATTAAAAACACAAAGGTCAGTCATGTCCTTTCAGTCTGGCAATCCAAGATGATACCGAATGCAGAGCTATTGTGTGCCACACGCACATCTTTAGTAAACATGAGCAATTAAGAGGAACAGTGTGTTCTCTCCCTTTCCAAAGATGCCAGTTCATAGTAGTCATGCTGTTATAAAGGTATTAGAAAACCAGCACAGAGGGTGCCTCATTAAAACTCATTAATCCAACATCTGTGTCCGACAGGAGAAAAATACGTTTTTGAAATAATCTATCATAGGTACAGGAGCAGTGCCCACATTTTATGACAGCTTGAGTACAAAAGAGCTCCTTGGTGTTTGTGTGACGATAATTAGGAGGAAAGAAGTTCCTGGCACGACTCTCAGACGGACACATTAGTGGGTTTATTCTCCCATGTCAACCACATCATGTTAAACGAAAGTAATGCAATAAAAAAGATAGCTGTAACAAAAAACAAAAAAAAAGCTTTCACACAAATGGAGCTAAAATCCCAGAAGAAACAAGGGGTCAGCATAAAGTAATGTGAAAAGGTGTGAGCGTTTCTGTATAATGTACAAATTATATCTCTGTCTGTTCCACTATATTTTAGCTTTATTTTCAGATTGTAATTATGTCACATTGTCTCTCTGTTTCTTCTGTGCAGGTTTGTGGGATGCCGCTGTCAGCCGTGACGTAGTGGGGGGGTTTGCAACATGCTGTGGATGTGATCCAGGAGTGAATAAATAAAAGATAAGGACCTGAGATTCACAGCCATTAAAGCTGTGACATTATGTAAGCATATAGGTTTTGTTTTTCTGTCTGTCTCACCAAATGGATCACCATGTGGTCCACCTCTCTTCAAAATGTCTTTTTTTTTTAAAACAAAATGAGTCGTTAGCCTTTTAAAACAATGTTTTATTAGTCTAATTAGAGTAGTTTGTGTGCATTTTCTATTTTACAGTATTTTCTCATTGTTTTTGCAGTTTTAATGTTGTTTTTGTTATTAGGTGCAGTAACTCACAGTGCTATGACATTTGGAGTTCATTTTTTTATTAAAAATGACATTCATACTCAAATTCCAGAGGTCTCTGGGTTTGGTTTGGTACATTACATCTCTTGTCTATTGTGTTTTTTTAACTTCTGTTTGAAAAAATCTCAAAAGTATTCAACTTTCGCAATGATTTGTTGTTGGGTGACTTGTTAGCTGTTGAACTAACACTTAATTCTATAAAATAATCAGAAAACATTTCTTAATAGGTCAAAAGCAACCTGTATCAATGTACTCTTTTTGGATATCTAAATGGCATTTTACTGTATATGTCCCAAGTAAGGAGGAGGGCAAACAGTAATTATAATAATGCTTTTAGAAATCAGCGATGACACAGATGTCTTGCGTATGATGAGCATTGTGGTCATTAGTGATGAGCAGAAGGCAGCTGTTGGATAAGCCTCACTCGGAGAGAGACAGCAGTCTGTCTGGAGCCCGGCAGCAGTGTGAAGATTATTAGTCATCAACGTGTATATCACAGCTCAATTATGCCAGATAAAGCTCTTATATGAGATATCAGATATCAGAGGTGTTATTCCGGGAATGTGTTTTTGAAGATTTAGAATTTACAGTAACATTCATAGTCACCAGTGCATTTTAGGGATGTTATAGTTAATTGAAACTAAAGCTAAAACTAAACTATAATTATTTTTGTTTCTCGATACAAAAAATATAATGGCGCTCTGTTAAGGGCAGTCTCATCCCTGTATGTTCAGAGTAGGAGTTTGGTTTGCATTACCAGCAATAAATCAGACTTGTTTCCAGTATGTTGGACTCTGGCAGGGTCACCCTTTGTCACTATTTTTGTTCAGAATTTTTTATGCACTTCCAAGTCTTAATGCCATGGTTCTTTACTGGAAAAAGGTGGTTTGCCATCTCCAGGTAGGAGGAAAGTTCTTACCCCAGGTAGAGGAGTTCAAGTTATTTGGGGTTTTGTTCACGAGTAAGGGAAGGATGGAATGTGAGACAAAGGGCATACTCGCACTGTGTACAATTGCCCTGAACCGGGCCAAAGCACGCTTGTCCCCTCTCCTGTCTCCCCCGATGGCCAGGACTCGCATTGCATTCGGGCCTGGGCACACTTAGGTCATCGATGATGCGCTGTTCAGTAGAAAGCGCTTTTGCTCAGCACAGTGAAGATTTCTGTAGTTATATCGGTTTAGTCATTTGAGATGCAGTGACACGCAGTCAAAAACTCCGCCGAACAGATCAGCCACTTTTGACGCTCATAAACAATCATAAAGTCCTCGTGCTGCAGGAATTGCGTTTATTGAACAGTAAGAATGTTCAATTAATCCATATGAAACAGTCCCGTAAAAGTCACGTCTCGTCTTCAGTTTTGGGCTCTGGCACGCTTTGCACTCACACTACAAGTGTACCGCGCCAAAGCCCAAGTGAACTGCACTCTGGCATACCTCTTCCATCAAGGCCAGGGCCGGCCAAGTGAACCGTGCCTGAGCTCGAGCACTTACACTTCTCAAACGATCCGGGAAACAGGCTTGGGGACAGTTCAGATAGCGTAATGTGAGTAGGCCCTAAGAGTTGGATCGGTAGCAATGTAATGTGGCCGACGTATCGGTCCATTGTGGTAAAGGAGCTGAACTGAAAGGCAAAGCTCTCGATTTACTGGTCGATCTACGTTTCTAGTCTCACCTATGGTCATGAGATTTGGGTCATGGCAGAAAGGACAAGATCTCTGATACAAGTGGCTGAAATGACTTTTCTTTGCAGGGTGGCAGGGCGCACCCTTAAAGGGTGAGGAGCTCTGTCACCCGGAAGGAGCTCGAAGTAGAGCCGCTACTCCACATCAAGAGAAGTCAGCTGAGGTAGCTCGGGCATGCTTTCTGGATGCCTACCTAAGGAGGTGTTCCAGGCATGCCACCCAGGGAGGAGGCCTCTTAAGACCGCTGCCTCTGACCCGGCCCCGGAAAAGGAGATGAAAATAAAATGAAAATGAAGTCAATTGTCAAACAGTAAATGACATAAAAAATAAAACTACTGAACTATTGTAACTTAATATCACTTGTTTGCATGTACTGTATATGATAGTCTACATTCTTCCATGCACTTACTTACTGTAAGTGTAATTTTATTTCCTGAGCAAGCCATGATGTGCAGGCCCATATAGAATTCTATCACAGTGCAATAAAAATCAGAAAACGTTAATGTGTCGGTAGGCTGCACAGTGTTTCTTAAGTATATACAGTTAATCTGCAGTTATACAATATTTATTTTTTAAAAAGTTGATATCTGTTCTATTATTATTGTATTATTTTATTTTTTGTAGTCTTGTCTTGAGTTCTTGTAACATGGAGTGTTTATAAGAAAGTGTCTGGTGCATATCCAGAGAAAATAGTGTTTCCTGCACTGTAAAGAAATGTTGTAAAAAATTCAGTAGTAATACTGTAAAAATATAAAAGTGCAATGTTAAATGTTAAAACTAACAATTACAATTGTGCTGTAGTTTTATTACTTTACTATATGCTTTTAAATTGTACAGTATTACTGACAACTTTTTAAAGGATTACTGGCTAAATTTGCAAGCACACTGCAAATTAACAATTACAATTGTGCTGTAGTTTTACAGCACAATTGTAATTGTTAATTTACAGCGCACTTGTAATTTTTTACACTATTACTGGCAACCAAAATTACAGTGTACATATGGTTCATCAAGCCCAATCACCTCTGTGTAGAACACTCAGAATTGTACAATGTTTTCCCAGAAACATAGAGATGTTTAGAGAAACATGAAGAAATGCTTGCAGATTTATGGCTGGCTTTGTACAGTACTAAATCCAGAAACAGCACTGCTAGCCAGACAAACTAAACCCGCATCAGCCTGCCAGCACAACGGGTTCTGTGCCTGTAGCATGAGTCAATTACAGTATGGTGCATCATTTTACAGTAATAAACCAAAATTGGCTTTGTCTGTTTAGATGTCCTTCCTTATCTTACCACTGAAAAGTAGACTGAAAGGGACAGTTGCACTTTTGATTAAGTTTTACCTTAACACTTGGTGTTCATAATTTAAATCAGTCACTTTTAAAAGGCAGTAAATGGTCCCTTGACTTTGTAATTTACACTGCAAGACTATTTGTACTGATGTTTATGTAATTAGATATGAGAGAATGATAGAAAGAGGCAGGTGTGCCCTGCTGTGTCAGAAAGCAAATTTAGAAAACACTACAGAAGGACAAGGATCAAAAGAAGAACTTTATTTGAACAGGTTGTGTGTGCGTGTGTATGTGTGTGTGTTAGAGAGAGAGATTTTCAGGCATCTTTTAACAAAATATTACTTGCATCTTTTTCTTTTTTTTTTTTGCAATTTTAAACCATTTTATAAAAAACATTATTCCTTCAAAAATGACTCCATAAAGGTAAAAATCAATTCAAACCCTTGCTTTATTCATAGCTTAATTATAGCTCAGGGTTCAACGTTAACAATGTTTTTTTCTACTGGCCTAATTGTTCAGATTTTCAGTTCAGATTTTTACTTGCCTGCCAAAAAAATAAGTTAATAGCTATTTCTTTGTCATGTCTCTTAAATGTGTCAAAATAATGTAAGGATAAAAAATATCAAATAAAATAAGAATTTAAATGCTCTATAAAAATGTTAATAAGTGTATAATGAGCAAAAATATATGTGTTATGCAAACAAAAAGAGCAGTATGTAAAATGTGCAGCTATTTTTTTGCAGGTCTAAATTATTTAACAAAAGGTGACTTGCCAAACTGATGGCAAACTGTGCAAAACAACACCTATTTTTTTTTTGTTGTTGTTGTGTTGTACCCACGTAAATGTTTGCTTCCAAGATGTTGGAAAGAAATGTTTACTTTTGGATTCATAATTTGATGTTGCTGCCATGTTGCTGTGTCTTAGCTGTACTGGTTGTTACCAGGCTATGGAAAAACAACATGCTCACAACATCCAATCAGATAAGAGGAACTGAAAAGAAATATAGTGTTCACAGAAAAGGTAGCACATTTCTCGATTCTAAGACTGTGTTTGCACACAATTGACAAATAGTCACAGGCAAATGAAACTTTAGTAACAAGGCAGCACTGGCCGAGCATCTCGCACACTGGCCCCGGGCAGTCCTTATTGTTGAGCCTTGTAGACTTTTCTAAATTATATTAAATGTTTTGCTGAATTTGATCTTGTCTGCTAGTGTAAATTACCATTTTGACATTATGCATAATATAACTGAAAAAAGTTAACAACTGACAATTATTCTTTCTTTTTAAAAACATATTTTTTTTTACCTCAAATAAAAGTGTTTTCATAGAGCAAAAAAAAAAAGGGAGATGATTATTATTATTCCAATGTTTCCAATATTTTATTCCAGTTTCATGATGTTGAAACGGCATCAGCTTTTCTGACTCTGCTTTATATTAAAACAGGGATATTCAATAACAAATGCATTTAAGATGTGTTTTTCTATTTTAGACATGAATTGTGAAGTATTTTGACTGCCAAAATAACATGGATAAGTCTCTAAATCTGTAATTTTCAGCTTCCCATATATTGAAAATAAGAGGCAATGCATTCTCAATGCACGATAAACAAAATAATCAGATGGTAAGATTGGCAATATTGTGCATGTGTTAAACTATAGACCATTTTGGTTTAGCACACAATCTCAGAAGAAATAAAACCTTTTAGTTATTAATTATAAATAATTAGCTATAATATATCTAATTTTAATGGTAGTTATGGCCTTAGAAGAAAGACACCAACAACTACTTTAAACTAGTACAAATACCCGGTAACACTTTAGTTTAGTTCTATCATTAACTAAAATAGCTTAATAAACTTCTAATTAGC